GGGAAGCCAGTGGTGAGATTATTCACCAGAGACAGAATGGGGAGCAGAACAGGCAGGTGAACTGAAATACACTGCTGAGGGGAGCAGTGGGGCGGGTTAGGAGAGGTCTGCCGGGCAATATGGGTCACCTCTCTGGCCAGGGATTGAACTTGTGCTGCAGTGGCTGTTATAGCTTCGTAGTGCTGCGCCACCAGGGAGGGCCCCTAGATAGGAACTTTTAAAAATGCTAAATGAAAGGAGTACAGCAAAGAGTAAAGAAGATGTATGATCAACATGGTGACTGTTTTGAAAATTAGTAAGAGAAGTGGATCTTAAAAATTTGAAGCTATGTATGGTAAGAAATATTAAAGATTTTGTGTTGATCATTTTGCAGTAAGTACAAATAGCAGAACATTATATATTATTGTACATCTGAAACTAATAAAATAAGTATGTCAGTTATATCTTCAAAATTAACAGCATCCCAAAGAAAACCACAATCAAGTCTTTTACTCAGTTCAAAAATGTAAATCCAGAGAGAAAAAGAATAGAGGAGGGAGATATAAACAGATGAGGAGGAATAAGCAGATGAGAATTAACAACTTTTTGCAAGAAAGTACAATGGATCATTCTTAACCGATTTGCTTAGGTTTTTCTTTGTCTGTTCAGCTTTGTGGCTGCAAAGAGAGAATCTAATAAAACCCCAGAAAGACTAGGGAATTTTAGGTACTAAATACCTCTGAAGAAGAGGAAGTCAGCACTGAATTGAAGGTAGGAGATGACTGATTAAAATTTTGGAGACCCTAGATATTTTCCTTCTCTTTTTAGGATGCCCTGCAAAAAACTGAATGTTTATTATTTGAGGATCATGAAAGCAAAGATGTTTTGGCAGAGCTGGTGGGAGGAGGAGCAAGTCTGTGAAAGGTTTTAGTGAAATTGGGAAATTGAATGAAAATTTGTAATTCGGTGTCATCTTTGCTTCCAGAAAATATGTTGCTTTGCTTACAATTTTTTAAAAATGTTCTTTGAGAATACTGAAATGAAATAATTTAAAGTACTTACATTTAGTGGGTTCCCATTTCAACTAATCATCATTTGACTAGATGTGAAATCTCTCACTTTGCTCGAATAAAAGTTTGAAGATTATTGAGAGATCAAAACAATAAAAAGAGGGAGTACTGAGAATAGAAAAATAAGTAAAATTAAAATTATAGGGAGATAACAGGAAACATTGCATTAGTGAAACAGAAGATCACATGAGGTTATTCAGAAAATTTTAAAAAATGGGAGTACTTGAATATTAATCGTTGTCAGATATATGATTTGCGAATATTTCCTCCTATTCTGTAAATTACTTCTTACTCTATTGTGCCCTTTGACATACAAAGCTTTTGATTCCATTTATCTATTTTTTATTTTGTTCCATGTGCTTTTGGTATCATATCCAAGAGAAATCATTACCAAGTCCAATATCATGAAGCTTTTTACATGAAATTATTTTCCTGTATTTTCTTCTACGAGTTTTGGATTTTCCATTTAATCCATTTTGAGTTCCTTTTTGTATAAAAGTGAAGGGACTTTGCAGGTGAATATACAGTTTTCCCAACACTTTTTGTTATATAGAGATTGTCCTTTTCTCTTTGGGAATCTTAGTATTCTTGCAGATCATTTAACCATATATATGAGTTTATTTCTGGGATTTCTCTTCTGTTTTATTGGTCCATTTGTATTTTTGTATTTCCATATAGTCATATTATTCCATTTGGTAGTTATTTTTACCCCTTTGCCCTTTTATGTGGCTAGTTGGAAAGTAGTAGTTGTTGAGTATTAGTTGGTATTAGTTACTGTCACATTGGCCCTGCGATTTAACTAGGCAAATGATCTCCCTAAGGGTAGAAACTGTTCTTAATTCTTTTACCAACACTGTACTTCCAGGGTGTGGAATAATAATAATTGTCCCATTTAAAAAATGCTGTTAGAAGCTAAAGCCACTTCCGCTTGAGTTCGATCCCGCCTGCCCCAGCGGTGATCCACATGGTGCGGCAGACCTGCCTGACCCGCCCCCTGCTCCCCTCAGCAGTGTGCTGAGGCTCAATCTGCATGTTCTGCTCCCCACTCTGTCTCTGGTGAATCCTCTCACCGCCCCTGCACTCCTGGCCGGTACCCCAGTTCTGTATACATAAATAAATAAATCTTTAAAAAATAATAAAAATAAAATAAAAATGCTATTAGAATAGGGCAGGTAGTAAATTATTCATTGTTCAACCAAAGATCTTTTTTGTTGTAATTTGCATGTGGGAGATTAATCTTCAGACTGTTTTTATTTACTTTGTTGGGGAAAGAATTGAGATACATTTTTGAGATATGTTTTTGCTTTTTCCTAGGCCATGTATGGTTAAAACCTATAAATGTTTATAAGGCATTCAACTAGAAGTAAACTTATTTTTTCTGATTCTGATGCTTTGAATTATCTTTTACTATGTGCCAGCTATATTTGCTTTCTTTCTTTCTTTTTTTTTTCTTAAAGATTTATTTATGCATACAGGAACTGGGATACAGGCCAGAGGTGTTGGGGTTAAGAGGATTCACCAGAGACAGAGTGGGGCACAGAACAGGCAGTTGTACTGAAATACATTGCTGAAGAGAGCAGCAGGCCAGACAGGAGAGGTCTGTTTGGCCATGTGGGTCAGTTCCCGGGCTGGGGATTGAATTAGTGCTGCAGTTGCTACAGATAGCACCATAGTGCTGCACTTTAACTTCTTGTGCCACCAGGGAGTTCCTGTATTTGCTTTTTTTGCATTATGTCTTCTCACATTTTTTGTGATTTCTTCTTAAACCACTCTGGCTGTCCTGCTTAGCCTATATTCTACCTTTATGCTTCCCAAAACAAACCCTCTTTTTTTTGATTAGTCTTCATTTTCTTCTAACCAGTTCTGATTTCTACTTTTCTGTCTGTTGTAAAGAAGGGTTGTTCTTCTGTTAATTCTGGTCTGCTTCCTATTGTGGAATGATTTATCATTTTACTATTATTCCAAAACGTACAGTTTTTCAAAGTTCAGATTGTTCTATACTCACAAAACTTTTTTTTTTTTTTTAAGATTTATTTATTTATGCACACAGAGCTGGGGTACAGGCCAGAGGTGCAGGGGCAGTGAGAGGATTCACCAGAGACAGAGTGGGGAGCAGAGCAGGCCAACTGATGAAGTATACTGCTGAGGGGAGCAGTGGCCAGGTCAGGTCAGGAGAGGTCTGCTGCGCCATATGGGTCACCTCTGGGACAGGGATCGAACTCATGTGCCACAAGGGAGGGTCCCCCCACTTTTTAAAAAATATTTATTTTTATTTACTTATGTATACAAGACCTGGGATGTAGAGGGGGTGAGAGAAGATTCACCAGAAACACAGTGGAGAGCAGAACAGGCAGATCTACTGAAATACACTGCTGAGGGGAGCAGCCTGTGAGACAGGAATGGTCTGGTGCACCATATGAGTTAGCTTTCTGACCTGGGATCACTTGGATCCAACTCTGCTGCAGTGACTGTGGATAACTTCATAGTGTTGAGACTTAACCCCTTGTACCACCAGGGAGGCCCTGTGAAACTTTTCTACATTGTTATAATTAGCAGTTCGTTTCTGTAATATTTGTTTTATTTCATATTTTGTATGTATACATTTATGTATTTATCCATCTTTTGGTAACTCATTGTGGTTTTGTTTTTTGCATGGAAGAACTGGATATAGGTCAGAGGTAGGGGAGAGGGAGAGTGAAGGTAAGAGGAGTCACCAGAGACAGAGTGGGGAGTGGAACAGGCAAATTTTACCAAAATACACTGCTGACGAGAGCATCTAGTGAGATAGGAAAGACCACCTGAGCAGTGTGTGTTACTTTCCTGGCCAGGGAGTATAGTGGTAATAGCACTGAGAAATACCTGTAGACTAACGGAGGTCATAACTCATTGTGTTTTAATTTATGTTTTTGTTAGTGAAGATATGAGTGGGGAGCAGAACAGGCAGATGTACAGAATACACTGCTGAGGGGAGCAGCTGATAGATAGGTCAGAAGAGTTCTGCATGCCATGTGGGTCACCTCGCTGGCTGGGTATCCAGCTCATACTATAGTGGCTGCTATAGCTTCTAGTGCTATGCTTTAACTCCTGGCACCACCAGGGGGACCCAGTTAAGAGTTTTTAAAGTTGGTGTTTATGAAGCCAAACACATTCAGAAGATGTTTCTTTTTGTGTTTCCACAGATCATTAACTGAAGAAGACAAAATAAGCAGCTATGCAAAATTCTCTTATGGATGAGAACCGATATTCTAGTAATGGCAGCTCAGGCAACAGTTCAGAGGTAGTGGTAGAACAGTCTGCTGATTTCAGTACTGAGATTATGAATGTTACAGAAATGGAACAGTCACCTGATGGATCACCTAATGTGAATACAACTACAGAAGAAAATGAAATAGCAAATGCTGTGGAACTTCCAGTGACAGATACGGAAGCAAATTTCCCTCCAGAATATGAAAAATTTTGGAAAACTGTAGAAAATAATCCTCAGGATTTTACAGGCTGGGTATATTTGCTTCAGTATGTAGAACAGGAGGTTAGTAAACATTCAAATGGTATTAGAGGGATAGATTAATCAAGTTATATCAGAGTAAGCCTTTATTTTTATAAATTTAAGATTAAGTTGAATAACATTAGTTATATACTTTCTTAAGCTTAAAGTAACTTTATAGCATTTATAAAATGGAAAGTCAAAGCACAGATCCATTTTAGTTCTAAGTAATATGTGTTTAAAAATCACTGAAACAAAGAGTTTCAGTTCTTTCTACTTTACAGATAAGATTGTATTTACAGGGAAAAAGAATTATGTGTGTATTTTTATATTAAGCCTATATTCATTTTATTTTTGATAATACATTTGAAGGAAATATTTTTGTGACAAAAAAACCTTCAAAATGTTTAAACGTGTTGTTTTATTTTTATCAGAATCACTTGATGGCTGCCAGGAAAGCTTTTGACAAATTTTTCATACACTATCCGTATTGCTATGGTTACTGGAAAAAGTATGCAGACCTTGAAAAGCGGCATGACAACATTAAACAATCAGATGAGGTGCGTACATCACTGAATAAAGTTATCTCCATTAGGTACTGTAAGCCAAATAATAACAAAACAAATTTTTTTCTTTTTCTTTCTTTTTTTTTTTTTTTTTGGCTGGCAGTACCTACGATTTATGGTCAAACGATTTTATAGGGTATTTTATTTGCATTTGTCACTCTTGTGGCATTTGTAGCTAATATTTTCTCTCTTTGTTGGCAGGTGCGTTAAACCTCTACAGTTTGTCAAGCTTTGCAGTGCAAGCCTCTGTATTACACTGCAGCTTAACAAGTAGGGCAGGGCTTTTCTCTCACTTACATTTATTTCTCATTTTCCAAACAATATAGTTGGTTTACTAGTCACATTTGCTACGTCTTATTGCATTTTTGGTCAGACGCTGTCATTGATGCTCTAATGGGTCTGTGCCCTATGGTCTGTAACCCAAAGCCTGCCCACACAACCCGGTCAGAATGCAGGGACTGCTGCGCTTTGAAGATCAAGACTCTGCACGTGGGGATCAGAACATTGCCATGTTCTATCCAACCTCCACCCAAATGGTAATGGTAGATTATTTAAACAAAATTCCAGTAATTAGTATTTCTAAGGTTCACCGGATAACACAGTGTTGCCTCTCTGTTAAGAAATAATTAAATATTTGAAGTACAGTTTGTTGTTTTCTTCTTAGGTATATCGGCGGGGGCTTCAGGCAATACCTCTTAGTGTTGACCTTTGGATACATTATATAAACTTCTTAAAAGAAACATTGGACCCTGGTGACCCTGAGACTAACAGTACAGTAAGAGGGTATGTGACAGATGAAATATATTTAGCTGTCTTTAAAATTATAAATAAGTATTAGATTCTGAGTGTTTTAATTACTTTGCCAAGAATATATGATTCCTGTATTATTCCTAATTTTTGAAGTAGTTTTATTTTGGTCATTCCTTCATTTGGCATTTAATTTATGTCTTTTGTGAGAGAGATGAACCTTCTATTTTTTTTCACTCACTAGAATAGTCCAGTTTTTCTGTGCTGATTTAAAATACTTATGGTTCATATATTGAATTCTGACATTGGGATTATCGATTTTCTTAGGGGCTGATTGTTAATCCATTTTTCTGGCAGTAGGCCAGTGCCATACTTTTATGTAGTTTCCTTGGTTTTTTTGATATAGTTCAGAAAAATGTTTGTTATATTTGTCCTTTTACCATTATGTTGTGAAATTTTATAACTAGGAGGGACTTTTGAGAGTTTATGTGCATCGTTCTCACTATTATATAAGGCAGCTGGATCTCTTGTTGATGAGTTATTTCACTAGAAAATTACTCATTCAGTTAAGATAAATTTGTCCTTTTCTTATGCACTATATTAAATATTTCAAGTTAAAGAACTTAATTTTTTATTGTTGTGTCATTCTTATGTGTTTGCATTATGTATTCTTTGCATTATAATCTTAATGTATTTATTTTTAAATATTTATTAATGCATACAAGAACTGAAGTACAGGCCAGGGTGGCATAATCCAGAGGTGTGGGAGGGTGAGGGAATTCACCAAAAACTGAGTGGGAGCAGAACAGGTTGATCCATTGAAATACACTGCTAGGGGAGCTGGGGACAGACAGGAGAGGTCTGCTTTACCATGTAAGTAGCTCCCTGGCAGGCAATCAAACTCATACTGTGGGTGGTTGTAGATAACTTCATAGTGCTGAACTTAATCCCTTGCACCACCAGAGAGGCCCTAATTTAGTTTATTTTTAAAGCATCTATGGTACACTTTTATGATTCCTTCCATTTTTTAAATCTCTACTTGTATAGGACACAGTTGAATATAACTTGAATTTAACATCAATTAAAATTAGAAATTATAGTTTAAAATTGATTATATTTTGGAAAGATAAGTTAGGAGTAATTTAATTTTTCAGAACTTTTGAGCATGCCGTTCTAGCTGCAGGAACAGATTTCCGATCTGACAGACTGTGGGAAATGTATATCAACTGGGAAAATGAACAAGGAAACTTGAGAGAAGTTACAGCTATATATGACCGTATTCTTGGTATTCCAACACAGCTGTATAGTCATCATTTTCAGAGGTATGTGGAAAATCAGAATGTTTAAAATGTCTTTGCTTAATTACATAATTCATAGTACTAAGGCTTATAATTTCTTCAAATGTCATTCATGTAAGATTCTGTTAGACGTAAGACTTATTTCTTGAAAATCATAATTTATATGAAATACTTAGAAATTTTACTGTTTTTGATCAAAGGTGCTGCTCATCCATTTTATAGATGAGGAGACAACAGGAGTTGTCTTTCTTTTAATTGCAGTTTTTTAAAATTTATTTTTTATTTATTTGTGCATATAAGAACTGGCGTGTGGGGTCCAAAGGGTGGTGAGAGAATTTACTAGAGATAGAGTGGGAAACAGAAAAGGTAGATTAACTGAAGTGCACTGCTGAGGGGAGCATTGTGTAAGACAGAAGAGGTCCCCTGTGCTACGTGGGTCAGTTCCCTGGCCTGGGAATGAAACTCATGCTACACTGTCTGGAGCCTAGCTAGCTTTTGATGCTGGAGCCTAGCTAGCTTTGAGACTTTAATTCCTGCACCTGCTACCAAGGAAGTCCCAGTTGCCCGCCCCCCCCCCCCTTTTTTTAAAGGTATTTGAGAGTATTGAAGGAATAATGAGAAAATGGAACCTATGTTTAATTATCTTTTGTGTTACTAAGTTGATACTTTATATACATGCAACATAGTGGAGCTGTGTTTAAAATTTAAAACATTACTACTAAAGATGTAGTTTTCTCATTCACATAGCACCTTGCATCCAAAACTGAAGAATATATTTTAAGTAGTGAGTTGTGTTTTTTTGTTTTTTTTTTTTTTTAAAGATTTATTCATTCATATAGAACTGGGGTACAGGCCAGAGATGCAGAGGGTGAGAGGATTCACCAGAGACAGAACAGGGAGCAGAACAGGCAGATCAATGAAGTACACTGCTGAGGGGAGCAGCGGGTGGGTCAGGAGAGGTCTACTGCGACATGTGGTCACCTCCGGGGCAGGCGGGAATCGAACTCATGCGGAATTGGCTTAAGCTTCTCAGTGCTGTGCTTTAACCCGCTGTGCCATAGGGAAGACCAAGTTGTGTTTTTTATTATGATTTTTTATGATGGGTACCAGTGCATTTTTTTTTCAAAGATTTATTTATTTATTTATTCATGCTTACAGAACTGGGGTACAGGCCAGAGGTATGGTGGGTGAGAGGCTTCACCAGAGACAGAGTGGGAGCAGAACAGGCAGATGTACTGAAATACACTGCTGAGGGGAGCAGCGGGTGAGTCAGGAGAGGTCTGCCATACCATGTGGGTCAGCTCCCTGGCTGGGGCTCGAACTTGTGCTGCAGTGGCTTCTGAGAGCTTCATAGTGTAGAGCTTTAACCTGTTGCACCACCAGGGAGAGCCCACATTTTTTTCTTTTTTAAAGATTTATTTATTTTTGCATACAGAACTGGGGTACAGGCCAGAGGTGCAGAGGCAGTGAGAGGATTCACCAGAGACAGAGTGGGGAGCAGAACAGGGAGATCGACGAAGTACACTGCTGAGGGGTGAAGTACACTGTGAAGGGAGCAGCGGGCGGGTCAGGAGAGGTCTACTGCGACATGTGGTCACCTCCGGGGCAGGCGGGAATTGAACTCATGCGGACGTGGCTTTAGCTTCTTAGTGCTGTGCTTTAACCTGCTGCCCCACCAGGGAGGGTCGAGAGAGCCCACATTTTTTTTTTTTTTAAAGATTTATTTATTTATCCATATAGAACTGGGGTACAGGCCAGAAATGCGGAGGGTGAGAGGATTCACCAGAGACAGAGTGGGGAGCAGAACAGGCAGATCGACGAAGTACACTGCTGAGGGGAGCAGCGGGCGGGTCAGGAGAGGTCTGCTGCGCCATGTGGTCTCCTCCGGGGCAGGCGGGAATCGAACTCATGCGGAAGTGGCTTTAGCTTCTCAGTGCAGTGCTTTAACCCGCTGCGCCACCAGGGAGGGCCGAGAGCCCACATTTAATGAGTATTGTTATAACTACTTCTGTCTACTGTGCGTCTCACTAGGTTACCTTAAGTAGAAAAAGCTGTTGAAAAATTTATTATTTGTGCTATGCATATTTTATCACTTGACAGAAGTTGTTAAAGAAGTAGTTAAGCTACTTAAATTTTTGGTATACGTGTATAAATATTTTTCAGCTTGACTATTAATTCAGTTTTCTTTTTTAAAAAAATATTATTTATTTATTCATTTATTTACTTATGCATGCATCCATGCATGCATGCATGCAACAGCCAGGGTGCAGGCCAGAGGTGTAGGAAGGTGAGAAGATTCACCAGAGACAGAATGGGGAGCGATACAGGCAGATCTACTGAAATACAGTGCTGAGGGGAACATTGGGCAGGACAGGAGAGGTCTGCAATGCCACATGGATCACCCCCTTGGCTGGGGATTGAACACTTGCTGCAGTGGCTGCAGATAGCTTCTTAGTGCTGCACTTAACCTCTTGTGCTGTTATCAGGGAGGCCCATAATTCAGGTTCTTATCTGTATCCTGATTACATTTTTGAGTTTTAATATTCACCTGAAAGTTATTAGTTCAGTTTCATATGCACATTTGAGGGTTCTTTCTTCTCTTAAATTTTTTAAAGTAGAGCAATCTAATTTTAAAGGAAAAGTTTTATAATTTATTTATTTAAAGATTTACTTATTTGTTTTTATTTCTGCATAGAAGAACAGGGGTGTAGGCCTGTGGGGTTGAGAGGATTCACCAGAGACAGAGTGGAGAGCAAAACAGGGAGTGCTGTTCTGAGGGGAGTAGATAGGAGAGGTCTGCTGGGCCATGTGGGTTAACTCCCTGGCTGGGATGTTGAACTCATGCTGCGGCACTGGTGATAACTTGATAGCACTGGGACTTTAATGCCTGTCCCACAAGGCAGGCTAATAGGGCAATCTTATTTTTTTCTTTCAGTGGTGGGTGGTAGAATGGGTTGTTAGCTTTTGTATCCACTGATTTGGCCAAGTTTAAATGAACTTGCAGTGCTTTTGCACCCCTTTGTGAAAGCCTCATTAATATGATTATAGTTCCCTACATAATTTTTAAAATCTTAGGGGGAGAAATCCAGATAGTGAAGTAAATGGTGTATGTACAGCCATGTTTATATTGAAGAGGTATGTCTGGGTCAAATGCTGAATGAGAACATGCGTTTATTACTAAGATTAGATTCAGCTTGAATGTTAAATGTACTGATAGTTAAGTTACCAATGTTATTTGGGCAGGTAGAGGCTGTGATTATCTACTGTTTGCTTTGTAATAATATTTTCTACAGTAGTGTGGGGAGGGGAGTTGTAACTAGACAGTGGAAGATATATTATTTTTATCCTGGTGAAAATGTGAGGTGTTTCTGAGGATGTATTTTTAAAGGTAAAATTGATATGAGTCTTGGTATCCAACAGAATGTTAAGTGACTCTAGGTTAGTGGGTAGAAGTTGGGAAACTTAGTGGTTGATAGGATCATTAATCAAGATTAGAAATAGTGTGGTGTGTTAATTTATTGATGAAGGTAACACAGATAGTTTATTGCATGTTGGGTATAGTGCATGAGTTTATGTGTATAAAGTGAAATGACATTTTTCAGAATGTTCTTTACAATTAATCTATATTCTAAATTACTAAACTGTGATCTAGGAGAAAGGTCTAGACTTGAGTTACTGTTAGAGTTACAGTGTGCTTATTATTCAAATTGTATTAAAAATTGTTCAGAAAGTATGTAAAAATAGATGAGAGTACAATGGGAGTACTTACATTTAGAGGCAGTCAGTGTAGGATATATGGGGGAAACCCTCAGACGTGGTCAGTGAACATCAAGAAAGTGGTACCTCAAACCCAACGAAGTAAGAAGGTTCTAAAAAGAAAGTGTAGATAACAGCTTTGAATACCGAACATACTAGGATACAGGCTGTAATATAAAGCATGTGTCCATTTGATTTTTGCATCTAAGAGGTACTTGATTATTCTTAGGGCAATTTCATTGGGGTGTTTGGCTTAGACACGTGGTTCAGGAGCAGGTAGTAGGTAGGGAAGTAACCACAAATATGTAAACATTTGTTTATCACTTAAGTGATCATGTATGATTTAAACATGGATTAATATATTTAATATTTTATTAACTTTGAAGTATAAGTACTGTTTCAGTTTATAGGTAAGAAAGCTAAGATTTAGAGGCAGAACAAAGAGCTTCTTTTAGTGATTAATAATGGACAGAATGAGGATCTGGATTTATTGCTATCCATGTCTTTTTCATTCCTCTGCAAAGGCAGAAAGGAAATAAAGATGTCTGTAGGTTGTTTTATCAAGTAGTAGGTTTTTACTATAGAAAGGAAGGAGAAAGGTTGTGGTATTTTAGATTCTTCCTTTAAATCAGAGTTCTTTTGAAAGAATTACATGTAGTAGGAATCTAATATAGCATCTAAAATTATGCTTAATATGGAGACTGCATATTTTATTATCTTCCTTTAGATTTAAAGAACATGTACAGAATAACTTGCCCAGAGATCTTTTAACTGGTGAGCAGTTTATTCAGCTGCGAAGGGAATTAGCTTCTGTAAATGGACATAGTGGTGATGATGGTCCTCCTGGTGATGATCTACCTGCAGGAATTGAAGATATAACTGATCCAGCAAAGGTAACGAGACTTACTAAAGATATATTCAGTGCATGAGACATACCAGGCTTTCTGTCCTTTGATAGTGTGTGTAGTATGACTTACGGCTGACATAAAATTAATTTCTGATTAATACAAGTAGGAATGTGTTAGTATGGTTTAAATATAGATTTTAATAGACTATTTTATTAAGAGATACTTGGCACTGGTGTAAAAGGAATATTTTTGCTTGGGCTGTGATCTGCTAGCTCATTGTAAAACTAAATGCATAAAGTATATTTTTATTAGCAAATTATGTTACAAATATTAGTATTGCTAGTTACATAATTTGAAATATCATTATTCCCAAAGCTAAAGTATGTGAAATACTTAATGTAAGCAGTGATGTTTAAAAATTTTAATTTATAACTTGTGTGATTGAAATTTTTTCCCTTTTTTTCTTAAGCTAATTACAGAAATAGAAAATATGAGACATAGAATCATTGAAATTCATCAAGAAATGTTCAATTATAATGAACATGAAGTTAGTAAAAGGTGGACATTTGAAGAAGGTGTAAGTGTTTTGTAAATGGTTTAAAAAGAAATGTATTTTTCCGTTAGAGTGTTTCTTTTGGTAATTTTTCTTTATTTAAGTAACATATTAATTCATCTCATTTGTTGTTTCTGTTAACAGTTTTCCATTACCAGTTTTACAGTTTCATTATCAATTTTAGAATCTTTTTAAAAAGGTGAATATCCCACTAGAGTTACTAGAATTGTGAGATACCAGTTTAATGTGAACTACTTTACTATATAGTTTTTTAAATTTTGCTTTAATGAGTTGTATTTTATGTGCTACAAAATCAGAATGTACCCTAATTACGTGTACACAAAAATAATTTTTTCTAATTATCTTTTTTACTAGCTTTACTGAGATATAATTCACATATCACAGAATTCATCTAATTTAAAACTACAATTTAATAGCCTTTAATATTTTCTGATATGTATAGCTGTCATTGTTGTCTCTTTAGAATATTCTTATCATTTATAAAATCAATCTTTTACCTTTTAGTTCTTAACCTTCTACTCCCTCAACTACTCATTTATTCCTACCCCTGTGCCTTCACCCCCACATCTCCTCCTCATTCCTGAGATATACCACTAAGCTAACTTAATGTCCTATTCTGGTCTTCATATAAATAGAATCATATATAGTTTTATATGACTAGCTAGAAAACGAATTTTGATAGAGGTATATGCATTGTAAGTGCCACAGCAGTTAAGGTTGTAACTATAATAGTTCCTTGATCCCTTTTTTTGTCAATAATCCCCATGCCCTTCCTATCCCCAGATAATCATTATTCTTGGGGTAATTGTTCAATTTAAAAATAATAAAGAATATGCTTCTTGAACTTAAAGGAACTGTTAATTTAAAATGCCTGAGTAAATGGGAAATATACTTCTTCAGTTTGTAAAGTCCAAAAATTTAAGGCATTTAAAATATTTTTATCATGAAATGCAATTAAAACTTCTCTGGCTCACTATTAATTACATTTTAAATAATTTTGTTATCTCAGATCTGCACATTTTACTCTTTGTACTGGCTTACTTGCACTATCATGCAATATTTTATTCCAGATTAAGAGACCTTATTTTCACGTGAAACCATTGGAAAAGGCACAGCTTAAAAATTGGAAAGAATATTTAGAATTTGAAATTGAAAATGGGACTCATGAACGAGTTGTGGTCCTCTTTGAAAGATGTGTCATATCATGTGCCCTCTATGAGGAATTTTGGATTAAGGTAAGAAAATTAGATACCCTGAAACTTGAATATATTATAAACATTATCTAGTGACTAACCTATTTTGTACTTCTGTTGAATGTTGTTCATATAACTATATCTGTTGCATTAGGAGATGGTCTGCTTGCAACCAGATTTGACTGCTGCATATGCCAACCTCGTTGCCTCTCTTCGTCCTTCCTTACAGAAACTAGTCTAGTGGTTCAATAAAGGTGCTGAATGGGTTTAAAAATAGAATTTTATCGTTCTGTCACATATTTAATACTTTTGTTCAACTGTAAATTATTCAGTATTTCCTCTGTTTCTGTATGTAGTATGCCAAGTACATGGAAAACCATAGCATTGAAGGAGTGAGGCATGTCTTCAGCAGAGCTTGTACTATTCACCTCCCAAAGAAACCCATGGTGCATATGCTTTGGGCAGCTTTTGAGGAACAGCAGGGTAAGAAGAAATCCGGTTAATATTTTTGGAATTTTTAGTTTATTTTTTTTTCTCCTCTGGCAGGAGGATGAACTGTTGTGTCCCCAGCCATAGTTATTTCAGGATAAAGTTATAGGAATTGAATCTTGAGGGAAGGTATGAAGCAGAGGGCTTAGGGTCTTTTTATTGATAACACTGTCATTGTAGTCTAATCTAAAAGCAGCCTTAGATACAGAAAATACTCTGATGAGCATAACTGGTTCTTTTTTTTTGATCCTGTGGGTTGTTTGCCAATAATTGTATTAGAGATTATTTCAAAAGTTTAAGTAAAAGTATAAATTTTAATTATACTTGTAGGTAATATTAATGAAGCCAGGAATATCTTGAGAACATTTGAAGAATGTGTTTTAGGATTGGCAATGGTTCGTTTGAGAAGAGTAAGTTTAGAACGACGGCATGGAAATATGGAAGAAGCTGAACATTTGCTTCAGGATGCCATCAAGAATGCCAAATCAAATAATGAATCATCGTTTTATGCTATCAAACTAGCCCGACATCTTTTCAAAATACAGAAAAACTTTCCAAAATCAAGAAAGGTTTTATTGGAAGCAATTGAAAGAGACAAAGTATGTATTTGTGATGTCGGATAAAAAAGTGAATGGCCATGTAATTTTTTTTTTTTTTTTTGGCAACTATGATGAAAGATTCAGTCTGCATGTAATGTATTTTATTACTAAATGGAGACAACAGTCCCTCTAAACTGATGTTGCCATTTACAAACTTTCTTTCAAAATTGCAAACTATAAAGTGGGAAAATTAAGACTTTGGATTAAGAAATGTTGCAGATATTGAGACTCTATGTTTTTAATACTTTTTAATAGTTTTTATACATTTTCAACAAATTTACTGATAAGTAGTTCTGGAAGAATACCTTATTAAAAAAAAACCATGACTATATTATAGTGAATTAACAGTGGTATTATTTTCCTTTTTCACAGTATTTCCTTTTTTTTGTCACTTGATCAAAGGCAGTATCTTATATATAAAATATATATATACATATACATATGTACATATTTAAATATATTGATTCACTGTAGGAAATTTGGGGGAAATAACAAGTTTAATATTTACCAATTTGCTAAACAAGAGTAAAAGTAGATTATTAGATCTTGAATTAATGCCAGGTCTATTTAAGACCAGCTTATAACTGTTTTCAGCTCTAATTTAAGATTTCTACCTGCAGTTGAAAAGATTAAAATTACTGGGAACTGTAAAAGTAATTTTTTAGACTTTATTTCATATTTGTCATAGTGGGTCAGACCACATTGAGCCCCAAGAATAGGCTATAGAGTAATAATTTATTAGCATTTAACAGTTTGCATGCTTTTGGAGAAAACTAGGATGTTACTACCTATTTATACCAATTAATTTTTCATTAATTTAGATATTTACTGAAAGCATTCAACTAGTTCATTTTAATAGAATGAGAGAATAAATTCTATTTATAAAATAGTAAATTTGGGGGAAATGACAATATTTAAATTTGCTAATAAACAAGAGTAGAAATTTTGATTTACCAAATTTGAAATAATATTAAGGCACTTTAATATGTGTGATTTAATCAGAATATCTTAGAAAAATCTCATTGACACTGCTTTTTATACAGGAAAACACAAAGTTATACCTCAATTTACTTGAAATGGAATACAGTGGTGACCTCAAACAAAATGAAGAAAATATCCTAAATTGTTTTGACAAAGCTATACATGGTTCATTACCTATTAAAATGAGAATTACATTTTCTCAACGAAAAGTGGAATTTCTTGAAGATTTTGGTTCAGATGTTAATAAGTAAGATCTTAACTATTTACTTTCTATTTGAATAGTAAACGAGTATTAATTTTGGATAGGAATTGTTGATGAATACAAACTAATGCATCATTAAATTTTAAAATGTCTTAGTTTTTCCTTAGATACATGCAGGTATATTCAGTTTTGTAAATGAATTTGTTATTTAACTGGTGAACACATGGTTGTTTTTTCCTTCATATGGTTTTCCAAATTTGCTGATGATAACTTAAACTGATAGGATCAGAAAATGAAGGAAGCGGTAATCTCTGATTCAAGGCTTTAACTTTGAAATACAGAAGCATTTATATAGATCTTGATAGGAGTGCTTTTTTTTTTTTTAAGGGTTCCTCTAATTTTATTTTTGAATAGTGACATTGCAAATTTTTAAAAAAGTAATAGAATAGTTCATTTTTACATCATTTTGTGCATTTTTCCATCTCAGTTGTAAGCCCTGTGGGCTTCCCATCACCCTATTACCCATGTGCCATCATCATAGTCCAGTGCATTTCCCTCCCCCTACTGTTTTTGATCCCATTCCCCACTCTACCCCCATAAAATGTCTCTGGTGTATATCTGTTCATTGTTACTTTCTTGCCTGGTCCATTGTACTCCTGCTGAGTGAAACCATCCAGTATTTTTCCTTTTGTTTCTGGCTTATTTCACTAAGCATGATCTTTTCCAGCTCCATACATGTTGCTGCAAAGGCATGTTTATTTTTTTGGTTGCTGAGTAATACTCCCATTGTGTATATGTATCACATCTTTTTAATCCAGTCATCTACTTTTGGGCATTTGGGTTGTTTCCATGTCTTTTCCAATTGTAAATAAAGCAGCAGTAAACATGAGGGTGCAGGTATCTTTTTGAAACAGTATTTTTGTGTCTTGGGTAGATACCTTGTAGTGGGATTGCTAGGTCATATGGAAGCTCCATTTTTAGCAGTTTGAGGAGCTCCAAACAGTTTTCATAGTGGTTGTACTAGTTTGCATTCCCACCAGCAGTGCAGGAGAGTTCCTTTTTCCATAGGAGTGCTATTTTTATCTCAGATTGGAGAACAGGAGAGATATGTTTTTGTAAATTGCATAATAGCCTCACCTTCATGTATTGTAAAATGCAGGAAGTTGAGGGTGGAAGAATGGTTCACTCTAGATTTGGGAAGGTTGTAAGTTTAATATTTAAATTTGCTAAACTAAATAAGAGTAGAATACAGATTTGTATATTTTTAAAAAGATTTATTTATGCACAGAAGAGTTGGGTAGACCAGTGTGGGGGAGGGGAGCTGGTTGGGAGAATGAGCATTGAGAGGATTCACCAGACAGTGGGGAGCGGAACAGGCATATTGACTGAAATACACTGCTGAGGGGAACAGTAGGCCAGACAGGAGAGATCTGCTGTGGGAGGTGGGTCACTTCCCTGGCCTGGGATTGAATTTATGCTACAGTGTCTGCCAAAAACTTCATAGTCCTGAGACTTAACCCCTTATGCCACCAGGTAGGCCCCAGACTAGAGTATTATTACTATTTTGTCTTAACTGATTATAGTAAGGAAATATCCCAGTGTCCAAAGGTTAGAAAATTCACCAGACAGATTGGGGAATAGGCTGAGTGGATTTACTGAAATATACCAAGGTGGCAGTGGGCAAGACAGGAGAGGTATGCTATCCCAAAAGTGAGTTTACTCCCTGGCTGGGGATGTAACCCTGGCCTTGGTGGACTTAACCCCTAGGGGACCAGGGAGGCTCCATCACTGTCTTAGTTGTGATAGCATAGGCAGACTTTCCTCATGTATTAGAAATGATAAACACATGGATAGTTCCTGGCCAGTACACCATGAATTTTACCCAACTGTAGTGTTGAGAGTCACTTTTTCTAGTAGCTCAAAAATCCTGGGGATGCACTAGACATTGTGGTTTTGGTCATATGTACATCTCTAACCATAATTGTCAGGACCCCATACTTCATGGGTCAGGCCTATGTCCCTGAAACCCCACTAAACTACAACTAACTGAGAAGTATTGGGCAATGATTCACACCCCCTCCAAAAAAAAAAAAAAAAATCCCCCTTTCTTAGAAAAGATAGCTGTGGACCTTTGTGTGTTGGTTCATTTAAAAAAAAGTAAATGAGAGGTATGTATAGCATCATGCTTTTGTTTCCCTATGTGGAAATAAAAACAATCGAGTCTGATTTTTGTATATATTTCAGAGGATTTTTTTTTCCTTCCTTCTCAGACTTCTGAATGCTTATGATGAACATCAAACACTCTTAAAAGAACAAGATTCTTTAAAACGCAGAGCAGAAAATGGGTATGTATTCTTGTTGAATCAGTGAAGGATGTGTAAAAGACAGGTTGTGAAAGTGCTTTTAAAGACAGTTTGTCTTTGTACCTTTATGTACATTCAGCCATTTGTTACAGAACTTATCTGTAGGTGTTTTGAAATTGATCTTTTACTTAGGTCAGAAGAACCAGAGGAAAAGAAAGCACATATAGAAGATACAACTTCTTCATCTACACAGATGATTGATGGTGATTTGCAGGCAAATCAAGCTGCATACAATTATAGTGCCTGGTATCAAGTGAGTTCACATAATTTGCATTCAGTTTTTTTGTTTTTAGATGTTTGTAGGATAAATTCTTATTACATTTTACTTTGTAGTAAAGAAAAACTTGTATTCAAGATTGTATATTATCCTTTGTGGCTAAGTCTTACAGTTTTAGTAGTGAACACATGCCTATTTCTTACAAGTACCTTGCTTTAGTTGTATTTTTACTCAGTCATAGTTCTAGTATGCTAACATGGTTGTTTGCCTTTTTCTTTCAGTACAATTATCAGAATCCTTGGAATTATGGACAGTATTATCCTCCCCCTCCAACTTGATGGAAAAAATGTAAATCAAGTGGGATGTGTGAAAAGTATGAAATTATTATTTTTTAATGGAGGGATGTGAACATGGCATAAGCTAGTGGTATTTGATAACTTGTCTTCCGTTTCTGTGTAACATGATTTAGTAGTAATGGGGGAAAATGTCACTTAGAAGCTTACCACAGATACTATTTCCTACCATTTGTAAAATTTACTTTTTATTGGAGAACTATTTTATTTTTGCATTAAGTGGTCTAGAATTCTTTTGCAGTGCATTTGCAACAGTTTCATAGCCTTAAGGGTAGGAAAAAAAAAAAACTGACTGCAAGTCATGTCAGTGTGTAGTACAAGATTCTAAAAACATAAGGGCTGGTTATTAAGGATTTACCTCTTCTGTTAAAAAAACAGATTTTTAAATTCTGCTGACAAGATTTTGTCTGCGTGTTTCAGTTGTCCTTGTGAATTTGGATCCGAGAAAAGATACACTGTTAAATGCTATGTCTTGGAATAGACCATAAAGTGAGAAAATGGAATGTTTGCATCCCTTTAAAAAATGAAAATCATATTAAAAGTATGTTGTTGCTGGAGACTTTGTATTTAGAAGATTCATGTAAAACTTGTAAGCTTTCATGTTGATCAAACCTGATCACCTTCACTTTTGTAATAAAATTGAAGACTCATCCACTAATTGTTACGAATTTATTTGGGGGGAATTAGTCAAATACCAACTTTGTAGTCACTATAAATTCATTGATGGTTCATTGACTTAGAAGTGTATTTTTCTTGAGTTTCGACATTATCCTGCCAAATTTTATTGACCTTTTTTGCTTCTCAACTGCTATCCTTTGCATTCCCACTACACAGAAATACTCACTTTAAAAGATAATGACGTGCCTGGCAAAGTGGTCCACACAATTTTATTGTTATTCCTTGCTTTGATGAACACTCAACCCCATTTTTTAATATATATAATAATGTTAATATTAACACCAGCAAATCAACACATTAGATGCATTTTTATTAGAGCCTTTTTAGTGTACAACATGAGTAAGAGGAAAATCATTTCTCCTTAACCAATACTTTGCACAGCTGTAGTAAAATATTTTAGACTTAAGGGATTACAATTCTTAGAAGTTGGGGATCAAGTAAACAAGCTCTAACTTCTTGAATTCTAGTTGACTCCTTAAAATAGTAACCAGCTCTCATTAGTATCTTAACTTTCTTCAAGACCATGTTTAATTGTTGCTTAGGTCTTTAGCTCTGAAACACAGTATTTCAATCAATATCCACTAATTCCACTTCAAAGATGAGTTTTGCATTTGGTGGAATTCTGTTTAAAGGTCAAGGTATAAATTTGATTAAAAACTGTCTCCCCTAATTACGAAAGGCCTAATCTAAAAATAAAGTATATAAACTGAATATTGGTAATAAACACCAATAGCAAGGACTTTATTTGAATCGGAGGCTAATACATACAGCCTAAAGTTTCTAAAATGTTATCTTTGTGAATGGAGATCATGACTGATCAGTAGTCTTACCTAGGTAAATTAACTAGCTAACTAGTACTTAACTACTTCTTGTGGATGCCTCACGAGTACTCTCAAATTAGTGGTCATTGAATAAAGATTTGCTAGTTCAGTACTCAAAAAGTTAAGCTGGGTTTAAATACTACATTAAATTTCATATGAAGCAGTATATATTTGCTTTGAATTTAAGATGCTGTGGTTCTGTGGTGTTTATTTCACAACTGGTTTTGATATTCATATGGTCGGCCTGAAGTTATACTGTAGCACAAAATTACAAGGAGCCAGACTTACAGCCTATAATTTACCAATTATTTGTGATTTAGGCATGTTAAAGTAAACTCTTCAAATATTAAAAAAATTTCAAAGATGAAACAACATAGTTTAAGTCTTGAAAATTAAGATCTGGGATAAGAATGTGAAAATAAGTAGATTCTAGCTCAAGTTTGAATATTTTGTGCCAATTGAAAATGTCTATATTGGAAGAATTGTGACAAAAGAATCTAAATATTAGGAAGATCAGTCAGGATAGAATTAATTACTGGTTTGGTGGTTAATCTAGACAGTGTCTTTCAAAAGTTCAGGTGATAACCTCTTAGTGTTTAATTACAAAGGAAAAAAGGATACTTAGCATCGGGTTGTCCTTTCTTTCCATAAGCCCATTCTGGTTCAATTTCCAGTCGAGCCTTTTCTCCTTTACTCATAGTCAAGAGTGCTTCATCCCACTGAGGGCAAGAACATAAAATCAAAACTAATAAATGATATTTCACAAAAAAAAAGGCAAAACCAGAAAACAGGCTAGATTATATGCCAAGAAAATATTACTACTGGATTTCATTATGTACTAAAGTACTGTACTTAACTGAATCACCAAATCTGTCCATTTTCTGGGTTAAAAACAAACAAACAAAAAGCCATAATTGTATCTGAGAAAAGAAACACTATTAAGTACTATGTTTTGGAATAGAGTATAAATGAGAAAACTGAATGTTTGCATTCCTCAAATATGATATGTGAAAGTACTTTTGCAAATGTAACATCATACAATAGAAACCAGTTGATTATCACCACTATTATTAAAAATTTGCCACACTTTTCTATCAAAGGAAAACTTCTGAATTAAGTTTACAGTGATAAACTAAAAAGTACTTACTCTAAAACATCTTAAAAATTACCAAATGGTAACACTGGAATCACTATAGCACATTAAATTAGCTACATGTTGGAGTGTTACAATCTTGCAGAAAATAAAAGGAACTGTCCAAAGAAATATATCTGGATTGCTGCTCTGTTGTCCAAATTGAGATCTTAAAGCCAGTTACCAAAATGGCTAATACAACATAAGGATGCAGCATAGACTAGAATACACTTACCTAGTAAGCAAATTAGTTCTGGAAATAGAAAAATAGATTGACTTGATATATAGCTAACATATATGGCATTAGGAGTTAAGATTATTCTCAACCAACTTTGGGCTCTGATATAACGGAGTCATACTGAGGAGATATCCTAGAGCACAAAGAATAGTAATCTGGCTACAGCATGAAAATCTGGGTATAGTTGATAATTGTTCCTTTCTGCTCTTACATACAAAAGTGGGTAAGAACATGAATGCCTGTTTGAAGTATTTTGTGTTTGGACAAACTTCTGCTTCCATCTGTACATCAAAGAAACAAGTATTTCACCTTTTTTTGATGCTATGTAAATTGTACAACAGCTAAAATATAAGAACTTTAAAGATAAAGTTAGAAAGCCCAACATTTTGACAAAGAATTAATTTAGAACAAAAGGGTAAGTTGAGGAAGGAAAATATCTTGAGTCCCTACTATGTCACATGCTTTATCAGTAATCTGTGAAGTAGTTTATAGACCCCATTTTTTAAATGGGGAAACACGACCAGAGATCTAAACATGTACCAGATCAGGAAGGCAATGACAGTATCTCAAATTTCAGACTCTGAAGATTTGTTTCTTTTTTTCCCCATAATATTCCCAATCCTAGTTACGGCACCATACCATAGGAAGTGTGTGCCAGAAAATCTATTGATGCATTGCCATTTTCTACTTACTCCTCTGATAACTTTGCCTATTCCAACCTTAAAACTTAAAGGCTTGGCACTTTTCTTCTTCTTTGAACCTGTAAAACAGATTTTCCTTATAATTAATGATGAAATAAGGTTGAAATTGAAAAAAAGTGGCTTAAATATTCAAACTGATTACAGTTTTTACCATATGATTCATTTGTAAAGAAAAATTCAGAAAACTGCATAAATTTTCAAGAAAATTCTGGATGTACATATTATGATATAAATAGGGGAGAGGAAAAGGACCAAGAGAATAGCTTATTATTCTGTATTTCATTCTAAATATTTTGAGGCATTAACCAAACAAGTTTAGGCTAAGCTTTACTTTTTGCTTTCTAATGACCAAGAGGTGTTTATTCGTCCAGCCAATAAGCAGTGAACTAAAGACCTCTTTCCAAGTAAATCTGAGGTGCAACGACTTCTAGAAAGAATTGACAGCCAAGAAAGAGGTACTGCCAACCACTCATTTACCATACAAATAGTTTGCAATGCAGTAAAGCCAGAAATGTAAAATTACATTTAGACTTACTGGTTTGAATATTAGTATCAAAAATAGTGCCGTCCTGTAGAGTTCCTGTATACCAGCAATGAACAACATCTCCCTTTTTCGGGAAGTTGGTTTTATCTCCTTTTTTAAGAATGGATTTTGTATATTTTGGTGGGCCCTTAAACAAAGCACATCAGTAGTTATTAATGCATGTCTTGTTTTTAGAATGATAGCAACACTTATCAAACCATCTGTGACGTAAGTCTGGTCACAAAATTTTATAGATTTAACTATTGTGTCTTTATTTTACCTCTGAGTAAAAAAAATCACTATTTCAAGTCTGTAATGTGAATATTAATAATTAGCATATCTGTAATTTCAAATACCTTTTACCTTCTTTGGAAACCATGCTCTGTTGAAAGGTTTTCATGCTCTACTGTTAAACTGGCTTCAATAAACTAGAAAATAAATCCAGTTACTCCAAGGTTAGGTATAGCCTTACTATTTAATTTTTTAAAAATCTTAAAGGCTCTAAATAAAACATTGTGATATGTTTTTCAAAGACTTGAGTTATCCTGGCACCAATAATTTACTAAGATTTTTTAGTATATCCAATTAGAATGACTATAGTACTGTGTGTTCCTGAACTTAAAAATTTTAAGTTCGCACAATTAATAAAATCATAGCAGTTTGTATAAGGCAACAGGTTTATCAGAATCTTAAAAATAAAAGCCGAAGGTTAAATCTGTGGTGACTCATATATGTGGGAAAAGCAATTTCTTAAACACATAGAATTTTATTCTACAGGACATATAATAGGAAATAAAGATCAAATATCTGTTATTTACTAGTCACTTAACACTAACCATCACACTTATTCCTTACAATCCTATGAAAGAGGTATTACCTATTTTCATTTTTGCAGATGATGAGAGGAAGGTTCAGATTATTTGTACAATGGAGCTAATGAGTAGTAAATAATATGAACTTGGGGTTGTCTCACTCCTAAAGCTCCTGTTCTTCCCATTAAACTAAAACATCTCAAATAATCGTGATAATTATAGTCAACATCTGTATTGATAATAACAGTTAAAATAGTTAACATCTGCTAAGTGTTACTTATGTTCCTGTACTAGGCACTTAACCCCAAATGCTTTGCATGAATTAAGTAAATTAACTTTAATTAACCTTACCTTATGGAGTAGTTACTAACGTTAGCCCTTTTTTTTTTTTAACCCCGAAAGATCTATTTATATTATTTATTAAGTACTGGGGTGTAGGAGGGATTGGGAAGGGGTGGGGTGACAGGATTCATGAGACAGGATATAGCAAAACAGTCAGTGCTCTGAAATACACTGCTGAGGGGAATAGTAGGTGAGACAGAAGAGGTCTGAATGCCATGTGGGTCACCTCCCTGACCAGAGATGGAACTTGTGCTGCAGTGGTTGGTGATAGTTTAATATTGCTGTCTTTAAGCCTTGCACCACCAGGGAGGCCCTGTTATCCCTCTTTTACAGATAAGGAAACACCATATGAAGTGATTAAGTAATAAAGAAGACCCTCCAGGGCCCTCCCTGGTGGCAATGGGCTAGGATGCAGCACTGCAAGCTAGCTGCAGCCGCTTCAACATAAGTTCAATCCCCGGCCAGGGAGGCGATCCATATGGTGCAGCAGACCTCTCCTGTCTTGCATGCTGCTCCTCTTGGCAGTGTACTTCCTCAGTCTGCCTGTTCTGCTCCCCACTCTGTCTCTGGTGAATCCTCTCACCAACCCTGCCACCTCTGGCTTGTACCCCAGTTCTGTATGCATAAATAAATCTTAAAAAATAAATAAATAATAAAAAGGGGGGGAAAAAGCAAATTTAAAGATAAAAAATACAGTTGACAAATTTAAATTTAAAAGCCACAAAATGACATGAATATATCCATTACATGTGAATATCAGAGTATCTTTAAGACTTAAACTATATGTAACCATTTGAATGGATAACATATTAATAATCATACTTTCAATGTTAATACCATTCTGTTGTTTTCCCATTTTCTGTCCTAAATTGCCCTGGTATATATTAATTTACATTAGTTTCAGAATAATGCAAAGACATATTTACTTGCTGGGTGTGGTTCAGTTTTAGATGTGAAGGTGCCAACCTGTCTACTGATAGCTTCCTCTTTCAGTGTTTCACTAAGATCTCTAACACAACACTCATTCCTTGGCATTAACACTGTAATATATGAAGAGGAGATCTAACTTAAGTTTGGGAAACACTAGCTTAAAGTGAAATGTGTCTTTATTCTGTATGACTTCTCAGAGCTATTGCCAGCTAAAATGCAGTATGACCTTTCAAGCAGGAGTCATACGGTACAGATGTTGATACCAGCCAGGAAACAATGTGGGACTTCTTGGGACCTACAGGGACAAAGATATTTTGCTCTGGTTATTTAATGATTTTGGTTCTTCATTTCATGAACCTGACTGGTTTAGGATGTTAGGTCTATCAGTCACAAGGTTGCTTATCTTGGAGTTATATGTTTGAACAGACTTCATTTTTAGGTAATTTCCTGGCCCTGAAGTAATTTCTTAGTTCAAAGTGATGAAAAGAACTACATTCCCAAGATTGGGTCTGAAATAGATAATTCTAGCATCAGAGATAAAGGAGCTTTATGTGAGAGTAATCATTATATTTGGACTTAACTAGATAACATTATAACTTCTAAAAATAGGCATGTATTTATGCCTATGAAATATTTGAGCATGTTCTGTGTGTTAAAAATTGGGGGTACATGGGTGAACTGGTATACACAGTTCTTGCTCTTTCTACTGGAGAATACAGACATATGTATAATTACATATAATAGGGTGTTCAGCTGGGAATGACACAGTGGCCTAACCCACAGTAGACTGTAAACTGGGAGAGGTTTCACTGAAGTAGTGTTTAAGTTATATCCAGCAGGACAAGAGAAGGTTCAGAACAAAGAACAATATTTTTATAGGGAATAGGAACTTGAAAATAGTATAGTCCACAAGGAGAGTATAGTATAGTCCAATCAAGGAGAGAATGGCATAAGATTTGGAAGCCATAGCACATGTTAAGAATATCATTATTGATTATTCTCACTGATAATAAGCCTTCTAGTGACAAGCTGAGCTTGTCAGAAGTGACAAGATGTTAATCAGTTCAGCTCTACTGACAGTTCTAAGTAGCTATATTTAGCTCTACTAAGCTGTTCATTTGCAGAAATGGTGTATCTGGGCTTCAAACCTTTGTAACAAAATATAAAATATGGGCTAGGAAAGATGAGACAGATTAACCCATACCCTACAGTCAGGGCTGCTCTATATATAATATATTGCCAAGTACACCACGTACATTAGAAAAAGCTAAAAATAATCAAAAGGAAGTTTCCTTCACACAGTCCAATTTGGCCATAGAATTGGGGCTTTAAAATAGCTTTAAAAATTAAGTGTGGTGACACATAGATGCAATACAAAATACAAAGCTAGAGGTATTTCATAAGAAAGCTCACTAACTGTAAAATGCTTATCTTAGCTTTTTTTTTTTTTAACTGAGTGATTTAACACACCCCCAGTCTTGATTCATTTGAGAGTGGCCATACTTAACTACTCTTTACTATGTGAAACCAGCATCATATATACTTCTCTCAAATTCACAACACGAAAAAACAAACCAAAAAAACCCAAAAAACATAAACAAACCTCATCCAGAGTTTCTTCAGACTTGGTTTCTTTGGGCTTATCTTCATTAAGCTTCACATTTTTCACCTGCTCGGACACTTTACTTATACTTTCAGTACCCTTGAAACGCTGTAAGGAATGAAAATGTCCTAATGTTTATCATATTCAGGACATGCTAAAGAGCTAGGATGCATGTCTAGATTTAGCCTATCAAGTGAGTATTACACCATGAATATAAGTGATCTCAGACAAATGTAAATAAATGGAAACTGCCTGAGAACAAATTAAGAATCATAAGTATTTTAATCAACAATTATCACCTTCAAACTATCTCAATGTAACTTCTGAAACAAGAAACATGTGGCTCTCCCTCATGGCACAATGAATTAAAGAGCAGTACTATGAAGCTATCTGTAGCCACTGCAGCTAGAATTTGATGCCCAGCCAGGGAGGTGATCCACGTGGTGTGGCAGACCTCTCCTGACCCGCCTGCTGCTTCCCTCAGCAGTGTACTTCAGTACATTTGCATATTCTGCTCCCCACTCTGACTCTGGTGAATCCTCTCACCCCCCTGCACCTCTGGCATGTATCCCAATTCTTGTATGCAGAAATAAATCTTTTAAAAAAAGACACATGTTTTAGAAAGGCTGATGCAAAGAGATGAGTACTACCCAATCAACTCTTTAATAAATTTTTTTCTGTGGAAGATGGTTATTTCATAGTGAATAAAAATTAGGGAGTTTCTTTGTTTTCCTAACAGAAAACATTTTAATTTATAACTTTTCAATGCCCTTAGGAATTTATCACCTTAATTTAATAGATGCTATTATGACTTACTTTTAAAAATCTGGTTCCTTTGAAAGGAACATTAGGAATACAATTTGTAAAATGATAGTCTGGTAACAAAATGCAATGATACTCACCTTACTTTCAAAAAGATGGTTATAGGCTGTAACCAAATGGTCCTTGTTAGCTGTCTTGGCCACATTTTTAATGTTTCCTAATAATTTATGTTCTGCAAGAAACTATAAAGAAAAAAGACAGCTAGTCAACATAATTTCTCTGATGTTATAAGGGCCTAAAATTATTATAAAGTGACCTTTTATTATTAATAATTACGTTTTCAATAGTACTAGTTATGATAACAGAAACGAAATAATTATTTTTACTTTATTTCATAGTAACAAAAAAGATTTAAGGAAGCTTCAAAAAAATACATTGGCTATTTATAGGACTTATCCACAGATTGGCATGGTATTATGCAAGGGTTACAATGAGGCATACTAGTCCTTTTCCCATCATGGAACATACAGAAAAGAATGTTTACATACAGCAAGAATACTTTGATAATTGGAAGAAGCTCCTGATAAGATGTTACCTCATCCTGGCCCAGAAGCCACCAGACATGTTGGGCATAGCTCTCTTGACATATTTGTGACCCAATCTTAGCGGAATGGGAAGCATTGGTGTACAATGCTGGATGTCTAATACTTCTGTGGCACATCTGTGAAGTCAGATCACCTGGGTTAAAGTCCTAGCTGTCTGATCTTCGACAAGGAATAAGCTTTCCCAAAGATATAATGCAAGATTAATCTATGACAGAGGATTGTTGTCAGGATAAATCTAAGTTCATTTAGTGTACTTTGCATAGAGCCTGTCACATATTAAGAACTCAAAATAACTATTATAATTAATAAAATAATTCAATAACTCAGAATAACAGAATTCCGAGTAGAAAACTAATTCAGCAAATGGACATCGAAATACTACTACTGAAATATCAAGTCACCAAAATCATAATGTGGGGATTTTATTAACTTGTCTTTTTAATTTTATTCTGTTTCTTTTCTAACTTCTGGTCCTTGCTTGATCTCTCACTTTATTAACTTTCTCAAATTTGTCTCTGGCATCTTCTAACTTTTTGAAAAAAGTTTTTCCTAACACTTTTTTACTTTTTCACTCCATAGAGAAAAATAATGAAGGTTATTCAGATTAAACAGAAGTAATCAGTTGCTTTTTGGCACACTTGTGATTGCTTTTGCAGGGTTTCACAGAAATATTAAAAATATGAACATCTCTTCAATAATTTAGGATCAATAAGATAATGACTTTTAATTAAAGGTTGAAATATATGAATGAATACTGGAAAAATGCTCTTTAAAGATTAATGTTATAAGAATAGTGTGATAATCCAAGTCTCTTGAAAGTAAACCACATGAGTCAGTGTTAGAATCCATATGAAATAGTTTCATAAGAATTTGATGAAGTGCAGTATTTAAAATACTCATTAATAATATGGCTACTCTATTATAATTAAAACATGAACTGGCTTAGTTGAAAATAATTTCACTACAATGGTATAAAAACTACTTTTACCATCCCTGAGATAGGATCTCTTTCTTGTTTCCACCAGTCAGCACAGTTCTTGCTACAGGTCTTGTATAAATATTTGTTGATTTCAGAGTAATTATTCAGGAGTATGGAACTAGATTTTAAGAGAATTATATCGCCTGTGCAAGACCCATCAAAACGAAAATAAACTACAATCCCCTTATTAGAACCCAGAACCCAATTTTTCCAAATGCAAATCTCGAACTTAAAACCACATACAGACTGCTGCTTCTATTTCCATTTAGTGGGTGATGCCACATGCATAGCAAATTGTACCAATTGTTCGGCGATTTAAGAGTTATGAACGGCTTTAATTTCTTAAGGAAAAAAGTATGACAAAAATAACTTGTGACTAAATACAGGAGGTTAAGATGGAGACTATCCTGAAAAATGGGGAGCAGACAGTATAAAGGACCAAATAGATTTCTTAGTTTATAAATACGGGAGACCACCCCGCAAGAAACGGCATATAACTCCGTATATAAAGGTGGAAAGACCCTTTATTTAAAAGGTGGTTATTTTAAAACGCAATCTATGGATTTAAAATCACGCATTAGTGCTCAGTATTTAAAATGAGGAGAAAAGCAAATCCCACAGAAATGTTCATATCCCTTCTCATTTCTTGAACATGCCGCATTCCCCTTCAGAGGTTGCATCCAAGCCCCTGATAGTCAGAGGCTGCCCGCTCCACCCCCAATATTTCGTTTCCTTTCTTCCCCTCAAGGGCTGCACCCTCACTTGAGAATCTCAGTGAGGTTCTCATTCTGTGATTGCTGCACGCGAACCCCAGGAGATAAAGCTACTCCCCCAGCTCACGCAGGGCCGGCCCCGGGGCGGGAGCGTGGCTCCCCAGCGCACGCGGGCCTGCGCGGGCCTTCCAGGCCACAGGCCGCGGGAGGACGAGGGCGGGGGGCACAGAGGAATACCGAATGTACGGTCAACTCCAGGGGGGGTGAGGCATCCCTCTGCCGCATCAGCCCGGCCGCCCCGCTGCCTGTATTACCGAATCTGAACCGTGGTCCTGCAGAAACTTGATAATGTCTTTCTTGGGTAGCTGCTCGCTGCGCAGCTGCTCCACGGTCCAGGCCCGCTGCGGAACGGCCGCCGCCATCTTCCCCCGCTGCCTCTGCTTTACTGAGCCAGCCCGCCGGGGTTGGACATCGCCCCGCCCCGGGGCGTGGCCGGCCCTCAGGGGCTGGGGGCGTGGACCTGCTCCTCACTGCTGGCGGGGGACTGGTCTGGTCCTCCAGTGACGTCAACACCGTGCTCCGGGGGCTTTGTGGAGCGGGGTAAAATAAGCCGCTTGTGGCGCGGTGGCTAACTACGCAAGCCGTGGAAATCCTGTGAGGCGACCTCTGTTGGTAGTGCCATATTCCCGCTTGCTTACTACGGAGGGTGGCTTTACCTTTAAAATTTAAAGAAGACTCAGTTCAGGTGTTGGACCTGTATTGAACCAAGCTAATGCCATTTTGTGCTAACTGCCTTTTCTGCTTCTGTATCCTTTTTGCTGCTTGCTGAGATAGGAAATTCCCCAAATAACTGTGCTGTAAGAGGAAGAATACTTGTAAAATTGATTAAATTACCACCTTCAACAAGACCAGGATATGGGTCATATGATCGGCTCATATGATCCTAGGGCCCACTGCAAGAATGTTACCTCTGTAAAAACTAAGTTTCATTTCCTTGCCTGTAGTGTATAAAAACTGGTTTCTGTAACTGCTCTGGGCCACACTCTCTAGAGGGTATTGGGGTATTCTGAAGCCCAAATGAAATCTTGAATCTCTGTCTCCACGTTCGTTGCCTGACTGCTTTCTTCTAGCGGCTCCAACATTTGGTGCGTTGGCCGGGAAGGTCAAGACTCAGCCTGAAACAGGGTTGCCCCCTCTTCCTCTGATATCAGTGGCGGACAGCAGCAGGCAGGCGGAGGTAAGAGGACAGACAGGCTGCTGGTTCAGGTGGCGCCTGGGTTTATGTCTCCGTTGGATCAGTCAGATGCGACTGGGAGATACCTAGACAGGCAGGATCCCGGGACGCTGGGCTTGCCCTAGGAAAGGTTTTCAGGTTCGGTGGGTCGACCTGAAGATATCCACACCGGTTGTGGGAACCTACTAGTTCTATTTGAGAATTCTCTTTGCCTCCATGTTGTCTGTCTGGTCCTTTTTGTTTCGTTTTTGTGTGTGACCTTAAATGATAGAGGAAGGAATTACAAGGGAAGACATCATCTGGTGCCCACCAACATAGTATCTCCGTGTCCTTGGTGAGATTTCCCCAGTTTCCAGTTCTTATGTTCTTTCTCTAAGAGGAGTTGGTGTTCGATGACTGCCTGGCTATCTTGCAGGTACTAAGAGGCTCTGGCCAAGGCTGTTCTTTGGCGAATCCTAAAACATGCAGGAACAGTCTTCCAGTTGACTTAGGCCCAACCAGGTGAACGCCTCATGCCTCTCTCTTTGCCGCACTATCTTGCTGATCTTTCTCAGTCGAGCCACCATTCCAGTCTTACCTTGGGAAGAGAGCTGGCTCCTGAGCTCTAAATTCAACCAGGTCTCATTCACACGGCAAAAAAAATTGTGGGCATGGGTCAGCCATGTAAGAGGCCAGTGGGGCCGGCTGCCACTTTCTAGAAGACTCCCATGACAGGATAAGCTGGTGTGCATCCCGGGTTAGTTCTAGTACTGCCAGCCAGAAGACAAAGGGTGCATTCCACATGTCCCAACCCGCAGCTTGCCACTTTTTAGGATTAAAATTGAGACCTGGACCTGCTTTCTACAACCTCTTCCCTAACCCTGACCGCACCTTTCACTATTGCCTTTGTCACTATGCTCAACTTCAACTGTGAACTCTAAGTAGCCGGCAACCCATACAGCTTTTTCTTACCCAGACGGAGCTTCCCCTCTGGAAGCAAATATTCTCCCCTTGTTATGGGGACCAGATTTCTTCTTCTTGTTTAAGTGGACCCAAGCCTTTAACTTGAGGTTCAACTTGAAACGTTCTTGCTATACCTGCTTAAGACAAATCCAGAACTAGGATTCTAGTCCTACACTTTAAATTATCTTCTTAGATGTCATAGGGATTCTTTGTTAACTGGGATTGAGCTCAACTGTAGGTGGACCAAATGCAAGCTATCTTTCTTGAGAAAAAACTTTCTAGACAAAAAGACTTTCTAGAAAGTCTAAAGTCTAAAAACTTTCTAGACAAAAAGACATAATAGTCTTTCCACCCAGAAAAGAAAATGGCAGGGACATATAGCAGGTAGTGGCCTGGGTACTCCCAGGCCCAGGGAAATTCCTCCTTAAAAATAAGGATGCTCACAAAATAGGAGCACTCCCTGGGGGCATGCCCAGGGCTGCCCCCATTCCTTCAGGTACTTACTCATCTGGGATGAAGTCTGTTCCCTTCATTCCCTCAGACTACTTTGGGCTCTCTCTGACTCACTTTTGTAATTCTAGCTAAAGTCCTTCATACTAACCCAAAAGGCATAACTACCCTGGCTGACATGTATGGGACTCCCCATTGTTCTCAGCTAGCAGCTGCCTGGACCTTTGTTCCAGTGCTGAGATCATTGGTATGTCCACCACCCAGCCAGGGGAACTGGTTCTTTTTTCACATCTTGATATAGTCTCCTGGTCTATTCCATAGTGAAAATCTCTAATTTTGCTGTGTCCTCCACTTTTAAGATCTGCTCAAATTACTTTGGCCTTACTAACAGTCAAAGTCTATTATATAGGGTGCTATATTGGTTAACAGACAAGATTTTATTCTATTGCTCTCTTGATCCCATGGTCTGTAAGTTCAATGTTCTTTTGTTTCAGGGAACTAGTTCCATGCCTGGGTTGGAAAAACAAAAATATAAAGCATTCCTAGGTTTTCTCTGCTTATCTTAGTTATCTTGAAACTCTTGTCTGTGATTCTAGGTCTTCTGTAATGGTTGAAACTGGATACTGGTTCTATGTAAAATATTTTAACTT